TTGTTCCAATTACTAAATGAACAGATGTTTTAAATTGAGATCTTTTAATGAAATTCTCGTGAATTTTTGTTTTATTTTTTTAATTAATTTTTCAATTATTTGATGTGTACAAAATGTTGTGTACACTATATGAGAAATTAAGAGTCCCAGACAGGCGGCCCCATTCCATCTGTTCATTTTATGTCTTCTTAAATATATAGAAATCCACCTATGATATGTACACTGTAGTCAAATTTATTGATATTTTTATGTTGATTGAACACATATTGAAGGTGTAGAATATTTTTTTGATAATGAAATGTGCCAAAGAGTATGCTTCTTAATATCAATTATCTATGAGTACATGAACTTTTGTATTTTTAGAAAAAGTAAGTGTTTTACATCTGAATTAGACAAGACAGAGAGCGGACTTGATCAAGGGAGACAATGCATACAATTGCTACATTAAGCTACCCACCTACTGGTTAATTATAGGGCAGATAAAGAAAAAAAATACCATCTCAATTCTTAGGGTTTCCAAAAAAAATCCCTGCAGGTACATATTTCAGACATTTTTCTTCTTTTCTTAGACTCCAAAGAAATACATTTCACCAATAATTTTCACGGACTGTGTGTGAATAAAAAACAGATAAATGTCATCAACTGTTCATATATACATTTGCATTGTACATGTATTTGTAGCCAGGAAGGTGCCTATAGGGATGGTCAATGTAGCTGTATTCTATTCTTTAAAGATATGAATGCATGCTTACTACTGATTAATAATGGAATTAGAATACCTGGTTATTGAACCTTCTGCATTTATTAAAATTCTCTATTTACTTCCTCAAACAACTTGTTCTTATGTTGTTGAAAATTAAAAAATGTACATGTAACTTGATCAATAACTGGGCATATATAGGAATGATAATTACATATGTACAATGTGTGAATTTAAGGTGTGCATTATTTTTAGAAAAGTGACATTACATGCAAAGAACTTTTGGGAAGCATTTGCACATTATAAAATTTGTGTATGATAAATTAACATTGCTGGCATTGTTTTAAGTGTTACAAGGTTTTAAGTTATTGATGATGGTGTAAATGGATCAATGTATTATCTGTTGTTTATTGAATTTCAGTTTTGGCTGTGATCATAATTTATCCATTTAACAAGTTGTTGAATAAAATAAATTTAAAATCAATCACATCAGTTATTTGTTAAATAAATGTAGAAGAATATTTTTTTTGTGTGAATTTGATGGTACTACACTGAATAGGTAAAAACAATAGGTTAATAAATACAACTAACTTTCTTGTGCATTTATTAATGGAGGATGTGTCCAGTTTGACTTGAACATCACAAGTATTTGAAGTACACGTAGATGTGAAATTAAGTCGTGCAATGGCCCTGTAGATTTGCTCAAGGTCACTAGTACCGTTGCATGTTGTGTATTGAGCATTCCTGACCTAGGTCCTTTAAGTACATGGTCGTATTTGTGATGTAGATGTTATTTCATCTGAACATTGCATAGAAGGAGAGTTAACGTTGTAATGACTGATCAACAAGAAACATATGTAAATGAGTCATTGTCTCAGGGTCAAGTATAACTTGCAAAGTACAAAGTTTTACATGTAGTACAACTTTTATAGGTCACCTTGACAAAATTGAGGGACTAGTGAATTCAAGGTTTTGGAGTGATTCATTCAAATTTTTTGGGTAAAATTTGGTAAATATGTCTAGCTTTTACCCAACTTGTACACAGGATAGGTACATGTATTTGGGTTCTGATGCTGCAAGTGACTAGCGAATATGTGCAACTCACTATATAGTGAAAACGTCAAATTTTAAATAATTTTGTGGGTTTTTTTTAATATAAAATGATTAAATGTAACTCATTCTTGTAACGCCGATTTTATTTTAAAATTTGATACCATACAAACTAAGCATTGTATTTATCGGTTGTGAGCATTTGAAAAAAAAAATTCCAATTCTTAAAATTCATTTATGAAGTAGCTTAGAATCGTTTCGAACAGGCCTAGTTCGTCTATTTACTCGCTTCCCTTTCTTTCGGGGAGTACGTAGATGAGGAAATATTAGTTTTGGTATTATGATCCGATAATCTGATACACAAACCGACAGGTTTTTACGTAAAAAAGGGTCTTCCATTATCATTTTAATATCCTGCTCTAACAAAAGTCTTTGCTTGGAAATTCTCCGTCTTTTACGCGGCTGGTTAACGATTAGTTGGAGGAATTCACACTTGCATTTCCTGAATTTTGTTCGACATTCCTCCGACTTGTTATCAATGCTCCTCTCAGTGACGGATGATTTTCTTGAAGGTTTTGTGGATTTTACATCTCCCACTGACGACGGCACTTGATATATTTTACTGATGTTTTGTTTCTGACTTTCGGATTTCTTCTTCAATTTGACACCCTTCTCTCTGTTTTTGTCATTTGTTGAATTTTTGTTGAAGACATCAAAATTCGTTTTGAATTTTCTATATGAGGACTGTACGTTTTGATCCTGTAATGTCACCTGCTTTTTCTGAGAATGGCTCTTTTGGCTGTCTTCATGTGTAGTTATTTTCTTGTCAATTTCGAATTCGGTCTCTTTCTTGTACCAAACACCGCCCTCAACTTTGGCTGATGCATCAGTTGCATAGCCTGTACTAGTTTTTGTGGTACTTTCAGAGGAACAGATTTGTTTTTCGAAGTTTAAGATGGTCATATTTTCTTGGTAATTGAATGGTGCACCGGAAGTAAAAATGACATCAATCTGTTCATCAGAAGTACTCGTCGATTCACTAGAGTTATCATCACTTGAGCTGCTTCCGGAACTCTGTAGTTTCCGGTCAACCTTAGAAAGTTGTGAATCATTATTGTCTGTGTTTGGAGTGTGTTTCGTGTCTCTTTCGGAAATACTGAGTACAGTTTCCTTGTTGTGTATCTTCTACAAGTACATGTATTCGAACAACGATTGAAATTTTCTAACATTAAGAGGACCCAATGCCTTAAATGTGGAAATTAAAACTGAGTACTGTAAAATAGTCTGATATTTAGGTATAATTTTCTGTGCACCTTAAAATCAATTTTGCTAAAAGGTTATCTATAATTAGCATTTTATATTATGTATTTAAGAATGCAACCTTTTTTCAATAGAGTGGAAAAACTTCTGTCTTTCAAATTCATAGAGTAAGCCCTGACAGGCTGTTTCACAGTACAGAAAGTCAGACTTCTCTAAGGAAAGAATATTTAATACTATATACCTAATATTAATTTATTTACTACTAATATTGCGTGATATTCTTTTGCTTACTCCTTTTTGACATTTTATTTCATCAATCAAAATCTACAACATTATGTCAGAAAGGGCACTACCTACCTCACATTGAAGAAAATTTGCGTCTGTATATATAATATATACTTAAAATTTGGATGCATGTAGCTAGAGATTAATTAATAGTGTCATCCCTCTCTCTGTCTTACCTTTTTCTTTCTGTTGTATATCAGAATAGCGATGATCGTTATGATGATAATGACAACAATACCACTGACGACAGACGCAACCACAATATCTGACGATTGAAAAAATGAATTTAATTTAGATAAGTTAAAATCTTCTGTGTATATTTCTTTTAGAATAATGAATACATTTATCTTTACATCTCAATTTTGTATCTTAAATATCGTTGGAATTTAGTGGATGCATGTGCAGTATTTAATCCGGTGAATCTGCTGTTATACATGTAGAGGGGTAAATTATTAATTTTTAACACCAAGGGTATCTCCTTGAAGAAAAAAAATAACTCTCTAGCCGACATCGTAGAAAGGGCACTCCCTTTATAGTTTTTGGCCCCTTTAAACATATTAAAATATGTATATGCAAAATTAACCATTATTTCAATATTTTTACATGTATAAAAACTACGGAAACGTTTCCTCTTTCGTAGATAGTTCTTTTTCACCAAAAAATTGGACTTTTTGTTACGTTTACTCATTTTTTCAGAACAGAAATAAATTACATATACATCCTAATTCTTTACGTACATAAGTAAGATATAAATATCCAATGTGTTTATTATTGGTACTTACATTGGCTATCCATTAGTTTAATTAATTACTTGACAGTTACAACTGATAAACAACACGTCAACACAAGTATAAATGATCAGTAAACTGGAATTCTTTTTAAAAGACTCTCGTTTATGCGGAACGATAGTTTCCAGTGTGTAAATACGACTTTTGAAGTTGTCGTAACTTGTATTGAAATATTCACTGATGTAAGTGTAAAAGACGCGGAGAGGGCATATTTATATTGATTTTTGATTGCTAACCCCCCCCCCCCCCTCCCCGGGAAAAAAATCCTGGATCCATCCTGGCTACAATGTTAGTATTCTTGCTTGTCAAAAGTAACAAATATTTTATGTGGTTTGAAAAGATTGTCTTCAAAATAAGGTAATTAAAGAAAGAAGGAACAGACGCGCCTTGGAGGCATCTTTATCTTCTTCGTATTTGACTGTCAAACTGTAAAGCTGTCTGTGAAAATTTTCCCCTTAACCACTTTTAGTTCTTTTTTGTGCTCTGAAGCGAACGGTGACATAGAATGAAAATAATGCATTTGAGTTGTCTCTCTTTTACCGAGATACGAAGTTATTAAAATTTTTACTCATATGGAGACGCCACCACTTGCCGATGAGGAGCTGCAAATTTTGACCTATACTCGGCACTCAGGGCCATTGAGCAGTGAGGGATCTTAAGGTGCCAACACCTACTGCGACACAGGACCTCGCTTAATTTACACAGTCTCATCCGAAGGACCGGTCTCCATGTACGTCCCACACTGGGATTCGAACGCTCGACGTAAGGATCAACTCCTTACTCCGCAACTCTAGAGCGAACGCTCTAATCACTGCGCCACGCGGGCGACTTAAAATTTCTGCAATGTACACAAGAAAGTATGATTTCTTTCATAATCAATACTGCATTAGAATTCGATTAAAGATAAAGATTTAAGACATCATTTGATAGTGTTTAATTCACTTCAAATATTCCATATAATTATATATTCTCTATGCATACATACGACACAAGGCAGTTTATAAATTGTCTAGACACATAAATGAAAAATAATCTGATATGTAAAGAATAAATAACTAATGAAACAAAAAAAGTTTAAGAAATTAAAAAAAATAGTCAACGTCATTTCACATTTGTCACTTTGGAAATTTGGGCATGCGCATCAATCATTGATCATCCTCTGCTTGCCCATGTTAAGTCCCGCCTGACTTGCGCCCTTGTTACTTCCGTATTGTAGGGAAATTACATTTCTTCCTTCCCTGAGTTGATCTTCCGAGAACTCCCGAGTCTGTTTTTCTGCCATCTTTGGACCTAACACAGGCCCCTTGTAGTCCGGTCGTGTCTGTGCCTGAAAATTAAAGAATTTTATATATCTCTTTCTAAAAATTGTCGATTTTTCTGGTTAGCTTATAAATAAAGGACCCCTTTAAAGCCATTTATTGAATGTGCCGAACTGTAGATACTTAACCTGGTAAAGTTATACCTATTCAATCTTACTTTATATGCGAAAACAGAAAAAAGCCTTCTAATTATGAAATATGGTAAGTCCACTACAGTCAAACAGTTATTCAAAATGCGCAGCACAAAATAAAGTTAAAATTCAATTGACTTGAATATTTGTCAATGCACTACAGTCTACCAATTATCCAAAATACGCAGCATAAAATAAATTTTTAAATTTAAAAATAATCCGAAGTCGAAGTTTTTCTTGTGAAGAAATACCATGGAATGTTCAAAACTTCAATTCATCATTTTACTTTCTTCTTTTTTTTTTTTTTTTTAATTTTTTTTTATTTTTGTGTGGTTTTCTCCGTTACTGGTGCGTACCACACGTCCTAGGGCGTGGATACAGAGAGTGACCTGGGGAATGTTTTTCCTCTCCCACAGGTCTACGGTTTGAAAGACCTCGTTAACGGGGACACCGTATTTTTTGGCTGCCTCCTGAAAACGTTCAATGTTCTGCATGAGGGCAAAACCACCCCCTTTCGTGTCGATCTTCTTTATGCATCCAGGCATAAGTTTGTTCATCAACCTTTAAAAAAAGGGATAGATCGTTAGCATGTCAAAAGATGATTATCCAGAGAGAGAGAGAGAGGGAGAGAGAGAGATGTGCCTTCATGTACATTAGGCGAGATAACTCTTGTCAACTTAATACATGTAACTCAAATTTCACGTGTGAGTAATTGACTTGCTTGCATAAGATGATTCCGTCTCTCAGAACATCCTCATATGGGGTTTTCCTGTCGACCGGTTCCCCTAAATTGGCCTCAACCCAGTCTAAGGCCTGAGCTTCTAACTCCTTATCTCTCTGGAAATAAGCAAGAAATTTATTAAGAACATTGATTTCATGGAGTTGAAAGTGTTAGTTTGACTACATTGTTTATTGTATGACGGTCATTTACATGTACATGTAATTTGCTATAACAGAGGTTATTAATGATGGACAGGGTCTCCACGCTTATCATAAACTTGAGATCATACAAAAAAATTCTTCTTAACATAAACCTAAGGAAATTGGAATTCTGATATAAATTATTCATGTATTCAGTTGGGTGTGAATCATTATTGGAGATCCCCCCCCCTCCCCCATTTTCTGGAGAACGCGTGATGAAATTGTTTTAATGGAGAAAAAAAGTCGAACAGTCTGGTGTTCAATATTAAGCAAGGGATAGGTTCCTCTCCTCAAGAACTTGTTCTTTTATTGACTTTTGCAGGTAGGTGTATTTTAGATCTCAAAATTTATGTAGGGGTGTGGTCCAGGATACATGTTTTTACTACACTTGAAGTAGCCGTGATTCGTGTCTTTAGGCCCTATATTGATCGTTTTTTAAAAAAAATCTTTTTCTTGTATTACTTTACTGATGGGTGTGAAACTATAAAATCACTGAGCTGATCTAGCACTTGATATAACAACGCTTTCTCATCAAAATCTCTCTACACAACATTATAACGATTTTTTTTTGTTTGATCTCAAGTAATCTCTACCGGTTGCTTTTATTTTTAGATGAGGAAAAATAACACATGGATTAGAGTTTTAGAATGTGAAGTTATCTGCAAGATCTTTCAACTTTTTTGATTGTTTTGGAGGGAGGGGCTATACCATTTAAACGTTTAATTGCCTCTCACTCACAAACCAGCTACAAGCGTCCCATTAAGTAAACATCGAACATTTCAAAATGCACTTCAAATACTCCATATCATGTTTTTTAGATCACCCCAAATCAATTTTATGAGTTCTGTATATAAAGTGTAAAAGGTCATGAGTACATTTTTCAACGTACGTGTATAGATGTTAAGATGTTTGCAAATATTAGCCTCTTGCATGATTTTTTAAAATGGTTAATTTCATTTTTTTGAAGTGAAATGCGTATAAATCTGTAAATATATGCTCGATCTCGCTTTGATCTCGTTAGACATATTGACTGTAATATACATGTCGACAGAGATACAACAGCATTGTTGTCGTTCACCCATTAGCGGAAGGATTTTCAGCATTGTAGTCATTCACCCATCAGCGGAAGGATTTTCTTCCTCACGTAATCCTATGGCCACTGACCCCCCTAAGTAACATATAATATTTTCCTCTCTGTGAACGGGCAGTGCCCCCCGATAATGTGCCCTCACAAAATATTTTTCCAGCTGAGTCTTGGCATGTGCATTGTTTTGACAAGATCTATAAGATAAAAGATACCAAATATATTTGGGATATTACTGGCACCATGCAAACTATGTGTGGATGACCAAAGGTATAAGGACAGGCGCGGATCTATGATACATGTATAGCAAAATACAATGTACGGTCCGTACGATTATGACTATTTTAATTGAAGTTATCAAATCTACATAGAAGGAAATTTCACAAAGTATGGTATACAAAGGTTCCTTTTTATCCAGACTCTTTTCAGAAGGGAAAGTGCATGTCCAAGTGTTGCTCGATGACTGAAGTACCAATTATAATAAGATCGTTGAGTATGTGAGGAAAATTTAAAAAAAATGGATCCTTAAAACCCATAGAAGTAGCATAACAATTTCTTCAAAGTTATTTCAAATCAACGTGCTTTTTCAATGTCCTTCACATGGTGTAATCCACTGTGGAATTCCCATTCAGTTAGACCGGTCACACTAGGACATGACCCTAATTATTCTTCGTATTTTGCATGTTTTGTGTTTAAGAAATTTTTATATTTAAGCAGATTAGTCAGATACTGTTTGCTTGTCTAAGGCAAGATTAGAAAGTTAAAGACCCTGCGGTACACAGATTAAGGTAGTGGGGAACGTATGCAATGTGGTGCACAGCTTCAAGTTGTTCATTGTTCTGCGCATGCGTTATCAGTAGGTTCTATCTGTTTTTAGGGAGAGAGTTTGGAAAATTTAATGCTTTACAGACATAATGACGCCATTATAAAACAACATTTCTTTCTAAAGCCCATTTATTTATAAATCGTCTAAAAATAATCTTCAGAAATATTTTTTGATTCAATGAAAATTAATAACTATTTAATTCTATCTTCAATTATCAATATGACACAGATTGCCTTCCCTGAGTTCGATCGCCGGGGCGTTCGGTGCATTGTCCGGGCTTTGCATATCTGCTATACCGGTATTATAATAATAATAATATAATTACAAAACATCCTTGATAACAAACTTAGTCATTCTTTTTCCAACTTGTTCATTTAGGGTCAACTAATTCAGCCAATTTTCTAGAAATCAGACACATATATTCCCCCTTTTTACAAAAATAGTCTGGTTATGACCCTTAACAAAAAATCTACTTGCAAACTCAAAGGCTTAAGGCTCTAGGAAAGCCCAATTTTTTGACACATCTCAATAACGCTATCGCTCACAAGGATATATATTCTAACACAACGTAATTAACCCCACATCTTCTCACTGGAAACATAGAAAAAAACGTGACCGGCTTATGGTGAGTATCATTCAACAAACACCGACCTGTTTATACTGAGGTGCACGAGAGGTTTGGGTGTCTGTGCCTATCACCAGGGATTGTTTATTTTAATATATGCCACTGATTGTGCTTGATATGGAACCGTTAATTTGTGTAATCAGTCATATTACTACAACATTTCAAACCAAGCTCGTACTTTATGAATCGTACTTTAGCAATAAAATTCTCTTTAGCTTTTTCAATTCAAAGCTTTGTACGCCAACATAAGGGAAATATTTTTCCTTCTGTCTAAATCTGCATGATCTTTGCATTTCCAGACACCTGTTTTTCTAATCACAAATTATCAACCGAACATGGCATGAAAACATTTGCACTATATCTCATTCAGCACGCGCTTATCACCTCAACACAGACACGCCAAATCTGAGGTGACATTCACTGCAAGCTTTCCCCCGTATCTGAGATTATCGCGTGTCCTGCGGTATAGATAAGGCTTTACTCCAGTTGAATTAAAAATCAAAATGTGCTCACTATTTTTGTGTTCAAATGTCCTTCACATCTCATGCAAACTTCAACATGTCAGTGTTAGGGCGAGATGGATACCAGGCAACGACCAGAGAAATTATTAAAACCTTGGATGATTTACTTGCTCGTGTTCATTCAAACGAACAATCTACATGTATATCGAATACGACTGTCTAGATTTAAACAGAAGAAACAGCATTTTGACACATTGATTTAACATGTAACCAATTCTCTATCGACGTCATGAAATTTCTTCTTCCGTTGAAAGAAAAAAAATCAAGAATTCTTTTCAAGCGCGACTTTCCTCTTTTCTAGTCGTGCCAAATGAGCAGAAAATGAATGCTTTACAGGTGATATCTTTGCCCTTCTGCTTTAAGGCTCAGTTTTCATCTCCCACATGCATCCCAAAATATCTCCCTTTTTTTTAAAAAAAAATTTTGTACCTTTTGACGGTTGCCAGACTCTTTGCTATACTTTAAAAATAGCCTCTCAATTCAGGAATTCACTAGCAGCCAAGTGATCGAGCATGCATTTGGCAGGTTAAATTTAATTTGTAAAACGGCTGAAAAGATTATATTTCAAGTTAATGTTGAATGTAGAAACCACATGTGTGTTTAATTAATACAGTCTTTTTGGGGGGTTTATTCTTTGCTCTTTGGAATGCTTAAACAAATTAAGAGCAATGAAAATGCCAAGATAACTGAATAGTAATTACTGCTTAACCTGAAAGAAATCTTCATTATACCTTTTCTCATATCTTGCCTCAATGAAATTTTAATGCCTTTGAAAACTGAGATAAACCAGAAAAAAAAACAATTCCAGAAAAAAAGCACGCAAGGAAACAATTTTTATGACGTATACACGGTGTTTGGCGCGGAATGATCGTGTTTACATCAGAAATGAATGCCAAAGCAGCTAAAAAAAACCACGAAGTCAAAGTCAACTACTGATGATTGTCTTATAATGGCCCAATTCTTTCACCCCTCTAAGAGTACAAGGAAAGTATGATAGATATATGTAGGACCGGTAACATTATATAGTATTTAATTTATTTTATGCTTCAGTAAAATACTTGATATCTTCGTTTTACCAATATTATCATCATTGTAAAAGAATACAATACACAGCTCCATAAAGCAAACTTGGCTTTTTGAGATTTTTGGTGTGAAAAGAAAATGACGTGATTTCAACATTACAATCTAAATTTCTTAACCAAATAAATATTTTTTTTCACCAGATCAATTTATTAGTTTATGTTTTTTTTTCTTTTCCACCACCAAATTGTAATCTATGTGATTTCATAGTGAAAAACATATTTTTTGCCTGCTTCGTAACATAAGTTTGCTAAGTTCATACATAACTCATTAAGACAACAATGAACTAGTAAGAGAAACTTTAGAGTACACTTTAAAAAGAAATCGATTTTATTTATAGTAACATACATGTATATACACACGTCTCACATGTTCTCGTAGCTTGCTCTTTCAAATGATCTCAGATTTTTAATTTTTTAAAATTATTTCCAATTTTGTAATTGACGGTTAAGTTTTTCCACACAGAATGTGTTGACAATGATACAAAACTTGCTTAAAACTTTTTTGTGAATGAAATGAAAGCTACTCACCTTTGCAGGCATTTTGTTGGATATCCTCAAAAGTAACTAATTACGTCTGAAGAACTAATATTTCTTGGAGAAGTTATTGACGAGGACGGGTCTAAGTCGGCTCGAGGGTGAAAAGAATCTAGGAAAAGAAGAACCCTAACTATTCTAAAACACCCAATCACGTTATTTTGCAGCTGTTGAGTATTTTTCTAATAAATATATGTAATGACAATGGTTGCTGCTAATGAATTTATTCATAAAAAGAAATTTTCATTGGAAGACTATGACGTCATAGATCCTAACTCTCCCCCAAAATACTGTGATGAAACATTCGGGCACGTACGATCAGCTTTTACTCCTATCTTCTTGTATCTCCGAAAAACATCATTGCTGTGCACGCTGAGCTGGTAATCTCCAATATTCACCCGTGCATTGCTAGAAATATTTCGTCGATCCCTACGCGCAATACATGTGTGTAATTTGACTTTTGTAGCATTGTGGGGGAGTAAAGGGTATATTAATTAAGTTAATGGCATTATAATCTTATGATCCTTTTTACAAAAATACGCACAATATTACGCACGAGTATATATACGTACATGTAGCTGTGTCTGCTGGCGTCTTATAGTGACTGTCTCATATAGCAGACTGTGAGTCTTTGATAAGCCTAAACCATCAGAATCTCCTTTATTGATAAACTCGGCATACAAGTGAAACTTTTTGTACATTTTTACGTTCATACTTTTTCAATTTCCAAAATTTTGTCATTTATATATAACAATTTCTCTGAGAATTTAGAAAGAATAGAATAAGCATCTATATATTGGATTCAAGACTTCATAAAAATCCTTACAAACAAAGATACATAGCGGGTTCCATTAAATGTTCTACCAATTAAGCCTCTATCTTTACTCCTCACTAAAATATTAACAGTAGTGAAGGAGAAAGTTCAGGGGTACTGTGCAACAATATATTCGAGAAGTGGTGTAAATCAGATGTGGATACTTAAAAATTCCAAGGAACTTTGGAAAATTTGAAATCACAAAATTTTACCAAAATCAACAACATAAAAACTTACGACTTTTCAACTTTATATACAACCATTCCCCACGATAAATTAAAGTCCAGGCTTTCTGAAATCATTGACATCTGCTTTTTCAATAAAAATGGAACTCGTAAATTTACTTACCTTGTCATTGGTCATTTGCAAAATTATTTTGTTAAAAAACATTCTGATTGTACACACAAGTACTCTGAAGTTGATATTAAAGAGATGCTTGGGTTTCTTATTGACAATATCTATGTGGTTTTTGGAGACCAGGTCTTCCAACAATCTATTGGAATTTCCATGGGCACTAATTGCGCCCCGTTATTAGCAGACCTATTTTTGTATTCATATGAAGCAGAATTTGTTTAAAATCTTATATGTGAAAAGAAGAAAACACTTTGGCCCCACCTGGAATTCGTGTGATTAAAAAAGTCAGTTTGGTAGGTACTCATTATTATATTCATGAAGCTAGTCTGCTAGAAGCTCCGCAGTAAAGAAAATAAGATATACTGTACAGTTTAATAAATTTCAATGCATGATCAACTTAGCCTACTTTGGAATCTGAATCCAGGAACCATGACATTCACAATATTGGTAAAAGGATCAATCATTATGCTTATTATGATCCTACCAACAGCTGTTTAATGTCAAGGAGTAAAGGAGAGGACTAATTTTGTTGATTTTACCCCTAACCAGCAAGTGCCAGGTGGACAAAGGTCATTCCTGGCCAGGTGGACAAAGGTCTGACTCATTCCTGTTTAAACTTATACATGTAATTTAATAAAGTAATTTAATAAATGTTGTAATTTCGACACATGGAATTAAGTTTATCTATGTATATATAGCAGTAAGATATTTTCAGGCAATATCAATTCAACACTAAACTGAATAAGGGACTTTTATTGGACTTAAACTTTCATTTCCAATTTTCAAGGATGAAAGTCGAACGATGGAGGAAAAATCGTCTCATTTTACACAACTCAGTACTAATGGCCGTCAAGAAACATCCGCTCAAATCCTCAAACAACTTGGTATATTCTTATTAAATTGGGCAAAATGTTTAGAAATCATGCAGGCTTTCTAGGGCAGGTTCACTTACACAAAAATTTGGTCTTCTTCCTTGCTGCATTCTATTTCAGACATCATGTTATTTTTTTCTGATGGTATTATGGAATAACTAAACTCTTATACATACACCGTGCAATAATACACATAAAACTGTTTTATTGTATAAAAAGTTTATTATATAAACCATGTAAACAATAATGTAAATCAGCTAAATAACAATAAAATGGTTTATGACGTAAGTGAAATACGTCATCATTGGTCCCTTTCCGTGTTTATACTGCCCTAATCAATATTGCGAGTGAAAACAAAAGCCTGCTTCCAAGTAAAAATTCATGATTTGGTCGATTTTTTTCAATCTTTACATACACGCTGAAATGTGTGAGCAAATACAATTATGAAAAAAAACTATTATCGCTTGTTGTTAGCATTGATTTAAAGAAGCGAAATATTCAGTAGCACGGTTGCTCAAAAACTAAACAAAAAACCTAATTGTAAATGCTTGAGTTGCGAATATCTTGCACAAGGAATTGATTGGATGATTTAGTCGACTATATGCCGGGTGTTTCCGATATTCATTCCTGACTGGTTAGCACCTTTGTTAGTTCCCATCTGTAGACCAATAATATTCTGTCCAGCTTTGAGCTGTTCTTCCGTGAAATCACGCTTGTTAGCTTCTGCCTCCTTAGGTCCATATGCACCAATCTGAAATCCAGACACAACGATTTTTTTCAACATTTAATTTTCATTACAGAATGAATCATAATAATAGGAAATATCAAATAAGGAGGAGGCAGGGTTACATGTTTACTCTAGACCTCCGTTTCGATCACAAAACATGTATTTGCCGGCTTCTACCGGTCTTAGCTGCACCAAAGGAAGTGAATTTCATAATTAATCTTTTATCAATTGTGTAATTCTAACAATATTCCGGGAAATATCACTACATCAAGCCATCCTCCCAATATAATTGTTTCTTAAAATTTACCTTCCTGGCCAGAGAGCTTATTCCAATAACACACTGATGGAGATTCTGGGCCTCGTGTAAGTCCACAGTGGCAAACATTTCATGATCTGGGACCCCCAATGCTTTCATTTGATCAATGGCAAGACCAATAAGTTCCATTTGTTTGAATGGTAAAGTTGGACTTTTTTCATATTTCTTCGCTGAAATGGACCCTGGTTTAATCGCATTTACTAATCTGAAGAAAAAAAAATTAAAATATAGATTTCAGACTTCATTGTACATATCAAGAAATACTGAGCCAAATAATCCAAAAATAAACCATTCAGTCTTACTTATATTTATGGATTATCCAAATTTATAATATAACTGCATGTATATCTCAACCACGTCTTATAAAACGATAATTAACTTTCGACTTATAGGAAAAATCGACTTACTTGCAGAGTTTGACACCGTCTTTGAGTTGACTCTGGAAATTGTCCATGTCTCCTGCTGTGTTAAAACTTTCTCCAGTTTTTCTGCTGATGAAGTCAAGAGCTCTTTGTGCTTCAACCTGGTCATATTTACCCTTGATCTGAAAGAATAAAATGTCAAGAGTTTGGAATCCGAAGCTAAAATTCTTTGGGAAATCGGCCGCACACTTAACATGCATTAAATTATAATAAAAATATCTTATAACACTGTGACAAATGTTTTCAATACAATGAATTTCACGCATTCAGAGCGATAAACGATGTAGCAAATTGCCTTTTCCCTTTATAAAAAATTTAATGCATTTTTAATAGTTTAGTTTTTACGACCGTTTTTATCACTGGACAAGGGCCAATAACTCTGTCAGTTTTAACAGCCACCCATTCCACTGCGCAAATTATATCATTTTAAGTTTTTTTATATTATTTTTTCAGTATCTGCAGACAAACGTGTTTCATGCATGACAATTCATGACTCACTCAATACGTCAACTGCTCGATACGCTGTAACATTTGCTGAATATGTTTAAGTTTTTCAAATGGATTTGAGGTTTATATACAAATGATTGGATTGAAATGAATTGATGTAGAAAGAATTTTAAGCCCTTCATGTGTTTTGAAATGTACTTTAAAAGTCAATGGTATTAAAAAACATCGTATAGTGCTCGATAAACGAGCATAGGAAATAGAAAATAAATATCCTGTTGAATACAGGATGAGTCCACTTTGTTGTGGATATAAATGTACTAAATCCATTTATTCCAGCCGAGGGGGTATTCTCCTTTGACATGAACAACGATATCATACATAGCTAACAAATTAATTCATCTAGTAAAGACCGAATAGTTCAATACAAACATGTTTAATGGCATACATAAATAAGCATGTTATTCATGTGTTTGCTTCAGTATTTCCATATACTTTATATATAGACCTTGTAATGAAAAAAAACATACATAATTTAAGAAGTATTATAAATCGTCGATTGGTTATAAATAATGCAAGACACATGGCTTGAAATTGAAGATGTTCAGAACATATTCTAAATACTATCAGATTATCCATTTGCTATACTACCACAGCATCTCATATTTTGAATATTCTGAATATTTTTATCAAGCGCCCCAAGATCCGCGCCCGTCGAATAACATCAAGGTAACAATGCTATCTAAATATATCACCTTCCGATTTTTTGCTACCTTTAGCTTCAGTTTATTCGTTCGTTGCCCTGGGGCCTTGTATTATGACAAACGTTTTCCTATTGAATTTATAAACAGTGTCGCTGACACTTCGAGCAAATTCAACAGAAGGTCTTTATATAAAATCCACAATGTGCAAATGGGATATTAAAACGAATTTAATTAAAATTCTCTCCATCAAAATAACTTGCGCTTCAGTAATAAGTAAACGATCTGTGTTTTATCAATGGCGACGACTCTATTTTTTCATTAAATGAAAATTTACTGACAAGGACATGGTATCTCCTCGCAAAATGTATTGAAATAGCGTTCACAATACTGTATACAGGGAAATTTTTTCTCCCATTTATTTTCGCCCCTTTCTACAAGACTCAAGGATTTATTTTCGGGGGACATGAGAAATGCAATTTCATTGAAATTGAAATTGCATTTCTCATGTCCCCCGAAAATAAATCCTTGAATCATGTAGAAAAACAAGTGGTTACCACGGAGAAGAGAAATGACATTGCTTTTGTAAGAATTTAAACAGGTCAAACGTTCATATCCTTCCGAAACTCGATATTACATCTGGTGCGTCATACATACATGTATCTAGAATGATTAATTTTGAATAGATGGACAGTGGACGAAGAACAAGCAATTCAGTTATTGTGAATTTCTTTAGAGAGTGGATTGGCGCGGAAATCATCGATCTAAACAAGCTTGGGGGTATTGTGATTCACGAAAGAACTTAATATAAATGTACTTCAGTGAACACGCCTTAAATGACACATTGAAATAAGTCTCTAAAACAAATTAAACTGTATGCAGTCTGTATAGGATTACAGAGACGTTGGATAAGTTTAACACTGGGTCAGCATTTACCCCCCCCCCCCCCCCCCCTTTCCACATTCTCCCTCTTAGCCTATTTCATTTTAATAACGTCTAACCTTAAAAGCTTTATATAGATTTAAAACGTCTTTAATGGTGTACATGTTACATGTTAAATGAAATTAATAATTTAGGAATCATAACCATTGCCATCCTCACAACGTCAGGTGTCCAGAGGCAACTCGTTGCCGTTGGACCCCTGACAAATTTCATTCGATATTCTACGGGCTGACTGCAGCTAATATCAAATGAAATTTGTCAGGAGTCCACAGCAACGAGTTGACCCAGGACCCCTGAGGTTGTGAGGATGGGTACGTCATTGCGAACTTTGGATCCACCCCGATCTTATTGTCCTTTTGCCTGGCCAGCTACAACCCCTGCCCCTATTTTCAGCTCGCCTGGCCAGTGACTGCTCTCTTTGGATCCACCCCTATTTTTCGTTCTCCTATTTAGTGACAGCTATTCGTTTGTTCTGGCCGTGACCTGTCACTATATAATGTAAACATTCTTGAGATATTTTCCTCCGACAAACAAATCGCTCCTTGTCTCGGCAGTGCGGATAAAAACTTGTTGCAGATTTGATAAACTTGCTTTCCCTCGTCAAAACCTGTTTCGGAGTTTTAAAGAGAAGTGGGGGGGAAGCTTTCAAGATGGCAGACAGCTTCAAGAGGCAATAAAGTATGTGTATAAAGTATAATTTGGGCGTGGTGGAAAATTACACACTTGTGAAAATTAAGTTTTTAAAAAAAATCATAAATTATTCTCTCTTCATATATTATTGGTGTAACCATTTATTTCCGCTCTGCACTATAAGCCTAATTGAAGGCCACATATTGATAGTCTTCTACATGTAAATTATCTCAGCAGGGAGGCACAATCATTTGACTATACAATATCATTATGGTTTGAAACAGTCATCGGATGTATTTCCGTCTCTCATACACACATAATTAACATTCCTTTATGAGTAAATCGATTTTTATCATTAGCCTCTTGAGAATCATCATTTTATTTGAAAAATTAACATATTTTGATTGATGAAGGTTATTTTAAAATAATATTTCCCGTTTACTTATCGAAAACGCATTATATATTAAAATAGCACAAAAACATATACAACTCAACAAAGGGCGTGTGAGCTTAACACGAGGAAGTTGCTAAGAACATTTAACGTGTTTCTTTCCTTATCTTTGCATAACATTACTGCAAGGCGTCATTGTTAAAAAACCCTACATTTTACAGAGATTTATATATTGTCTATGAATTAGAAATAAGGACATTATTTTATTCCTGCTTTTGTACACGTGTTACTTGATGGTCTGGTAACACAGAGGCATTCAATGTGATCTACTCTTTAAATCTCTATATGACATCTGCAGAACTTTGGAAAATTATCCCCCCAACTCGACTAATAAAAAAGATGCCCTTTATATGCTCATTACCGAAAGTCCAAGCCATACTTGTTGACTGATTATCCTGAGCGCCCCTCCCCCCTTCTACACTCCACCCAATAAATGGTTTCGACAATTTTTGACAATTTTTACTGATGGATATTACTATTATAAGTATGTGAAATATTCATCAGAACCAGTCTACGAAGCTAGGTTATCAGACATCAACAAAAAGTGACACATTTACACAAAGGTAGTCTGAACCTAAGTGCCTGTAGGAGAAATCTTGACAACTATCAGAAGTGTAATCAGTTAATCGGTCCCCCCTTTTACCCTCCCCGTCACCCCTGGCAGGAAGACTATGTACTTATCTAACATCCACCAAGTCGAATCTTTTTCCGGCGTGTTGTTAATGCGATGAAAAATTCCCCAGGTCACCCTCGGCAAAATTACATTCTCTCTGGCATTTCTTTAAAGCAGACTGTTGCTTAATAGAATGGGTATTTTGATGCAAGGCAGATCACGCCGAATACACGATAATGTTTGACAAGAGACGAGGGTGGTTCTTAATTAAAAATTCTTAAGTGCTGTCAAAGGGGTCCGTCTCCATAGCGTGGAATTCATCTTGAATTAACAGTAAAAATCCTGAAAAGATTATCCCCTTCGCCTTGAATAATTGAATCTGTCGGTCTAGACTGATCGAAGTCAGCGATTTAAAGAATATTTCACATCAACTCAATCCTCCTTTTCATCAGGCCCAGTATATATAATCCAAAGCTCATGCATTTGAAGAATCCCATCATGAAAAAATATATAATATGTATATATACCAAATGATACAAATTATAAAACTATATACATGTCAAGTAAATAATCTGGATCCGCGCCATCAATATTACTAAACATAATTAATCCACGTGTCGCTCACTAACCATCCATCAAATGTATGGGCTGTGGTCGATAGCCACTTTTATCCCGTGACAGGACATTTATCCCCTTCCGACATCCTTACCTTTCCTTGGGCCTCAGCCGCCAGGCCGGACTTTGTCGCTCTGTATGACATTTTTGAGATGAAGATTCTATCTGGACCAGATCTGGTTTAAATATCCCACAGGGTTCAAGTCGCCGGCTTCCGACTGAGGAAAGTAAACAATATTTTGAGGCCACTTCGTGTGATTCACATGTACACGTGATACTGGAGATTCGTGCACTGATTGGTTAGTTTTTATTTATAGGAGGGACTTTCTAAAGAATAAAATTCCGCGATAAGGTGATAACTTTACGTCAAACAAAAAAGCCTTTGATGGAAAGTGCATATTTTAATTTTTATTGTCCTTATATGGATCGCAGTGGCTCGTAGGCGGTGAAGTCTAGCGTTGTGAATGCATTAAGGAATTAACATACTAAATGCCTCCTAGCGACTCATTGTTAAACAATGCTGGTTTAGGTAAACAGTTATAATATAAGTAAAATATTCCGTCTATCCCACAGCAATTGTATTGTTTAAAAGTCTGTGACGCATTGTAATCTTTGGAACAGAATGTCTTTAATTTAATTAAAACCGACTTTTGTAAACATGGACTAGATTATCTCAATCTTAAGATTAACCCGGTGCATAACTATTACGTATAGGTGTACCTTAATCGAACTTATCTACCCATATCATTTTGATAACTTTTAAATGCCATTATAGTGAATACATACCCTCGTAAACGTGGGAAAAGTATGAAATTCAATATCTGTTATGTTTAAATGTTTTATTTAATTTAACACTTATCACAGGTGTGGAAATGATAATCCCTAACTTCCGCCTTCCACGTTACTGAATTACCCAGAATCTTATTTAGGCTGTGATTTTTTTTTTTTTTTTTGAAATTTGTTTCAGAATTTAAAGTACGACGCACCGTCTATTTACATGTAATTGTCCATACATTTCAACTTTGGAATGTTGGAATGTGCCAATCAAAGTCAACTTCACTGAACTATCCATGTATGCAAACTTGTCTATAGGAAATCATGAAAACGTATACTATTGTTCATTTTCACCGTTTTCTTTCTTTCTTTCTTTTTTTAAATTTGGATATGGTAACTAAAAGCTATTTAAAATTGTATGATTTAGAACAAAACTAAATTAAAAACAAATAATTTGAAGAACGTTAAAACCTAACAAAAAATCAGGAGAAACTCTTATAAGTCTGAACTTAAAGAGTACAGAATGTGTACGGAACTTGCGACCTCGAATTGCACAGAGAGAGAGAGAGAGAGAGAGAGAGAGAGAGAGAGAGAGAGATGACACTGCTGAAAGGAAGACAACTCGTACAGGACAGTGTAGATTTGCAAGTAAGGGTTAAACAAACTTTGGAGTAACTGGATGGATTATAGTTTGAAATAAGATTAAACTTTATCACGCCCCATTTTTATTTAAATTTATAAAAATTTAAAAATAGAATTATTTCCTATCTAAAATTGTTGTTATTGTTTGGAGCAAAGAAAACTATTTAAAATATGGGAATCTCTTTTTTTCCTGTACAAAACATTTTTTTTTTTCAAATCATGTAGAGTTTGAAATGAAGTGAAGACGATAAGAAAGCTTTATGTCCTTTGGCTGTAGTTCACTTGGTCAACTTCAATCTCAGAATAAAGAGGTTGCATTATAAGTTTTTCCTATAGACCCATTTCGCTTTCGTAATGACTAAGCTATTTCATAAAAAATGCCACTATTGTCAACCTCTCCTTAATTTAAACAACCCTTTTCATTAAATTATGCTTAAACAAACATTTACTCGATCGAATATCAGTCGCGTGTGTTCATCGGAAAGAAATTGTATGCTAACTATGTGGCCCATTTCATTCATTTTATTTTACATTTATCACATTTTACTTGATATAACTAAATGACAATAGATTTAAAGGATCAACGACGCCATTTATACCCTGAAGAATCTTTTCAAAATGTATCTGCATAACTTATCATAAAATATTACAGATTTTCATTTGATAAACTAAAACGAATAATGAAAATGATACTTCCTTTATGGAATGATCAAGATTTCATAAATTTATATAGCATATACGTATACGAGGGTCGTCCCAGTATAATATAATAAATATTGCATATAGTTGAGTGTAACATTGAACATTTTCATCGCTCAAAAAACCATTGTCAACCTCGGCTGCGCCTCGGTTGACAATGGTTTTCTTGGGGTGAAAATTTTCAATGATACACTCAACTACATGTAATATTTATATATAATAGTTATTTAAATTTGCAATCTCCTTAATGTTTATTTCATTATTGACCAGTTTCAAATAAAATCAGCCAAAAATCATCTTTGGTGACTGAAATTCCAAACTTTTTGACAGTATTATAAGAAAAACTATCTGCCCGATATGTATTGGAAGTTATTTTTTTCGATACGATACATTTCTGAATATCGATACGTTTTGATTAATCGATATATTAGCAAGCCCTACCTTGAAGTGGACAAACCATATATGTTACAATTTTATTACTTTCCCGTGCCCCGCCTTCAAAGTGTTTGACGACGTCAGTTGTAGCAAACTCTTTGAAAATTACGACACCAATCCTCTCTATCGGATACCATTTATGTGAAAATTTGACATACAATGTACTAGTATTACTAAGATTTTGTTTCTGGTTTCGTTGATATAAGTTTGAGTTTTATGTTCTACATGCAGAGAAACAAATGCAATTGGAATAGTTACATACGTAAATTATACCGGACCATACAACAGACCATATCGGCCTTCCTAAAAATCGTCAGAATATTATTGCCATGTAATATATTCATTTAAAAATTAAGGAACATCGAATAAGTTATGGCTATATATGCAAAATTTGGTCAGTATTGGTTGAATGTTTACAAAGTTATAAACATTGTCTACGACTTTTTGGGACAACACTCGTGTACAATAGAATGACCAGGCACTGTAAATCCCCCCCCCCCCCCCGGGGGGGTTTGATTTGATATTAAGAAAAGCAATAAAAATGTTGTTTTATATTAAAAGTAATCAGAAAACTAAACTCGATGTTTCATATAAGATTCCAGTCTTGAAGAAGATATTAAAGTTGAAGTATCTAAAGTAATGTACGGTAACCACTATAGACATTTTTTTAAAAAAGTAACTCATTTTATTCAAAGTTTTATGACCAATTAAGATGGGATCTTTTACAAACAGAAAAAAGAAATTCATGTCAGAATATTTTATGTGTACAGGGTTATTTTCTCCCCCTGTTATTTTTCGCCCTTTCACACTAAATTTGTCAAGATTCAGTTGCATTTAAGAGATAATGCTGTCCTATTTTAAATTGCCCGTTTTAAATTCGCCCACCCGGGATGAGGGCAAAAGAGACGGGAAAAAACTTTCCCTATATATGCAGTATATTTTTTAATTGTTAATGGCTATTCAGCCAAATATTTTTATGATTTTATCATTTTATATAATCTTATCGCCATCAAGTCATTCTCAAAATCAATGATGCACAATTCAAATTGCTTCACGTTAGAACTACATCTACATGTATATGGAAAGTTTCCTTCTTTCAACACATCAAACGATGGACAAATAAAGGACCTATTCATGCTCATTTTCCCAAAAATGTATCAAATTCTGAAGAATTTACGGAAATATTACCCTGCACTTGAATGACATGTTCTTGTAGAAAGTAGGCGTTTTAAATTTTGTTTTACGAGTCTTGTACACGACGAGTGCTTGATATATATCCCCCCCCCCCAAATTTTTAAACTTGTTATCATTCATAACATGGAATTTATTAGACATGGCCTTTTTTGGGGAAAAAGTCGATAAAATGTGAGAAAACAACAATATAGACGTTTAGGATAAACATGATTGTACGTCGTATATTCATACCAGGTTGTGAGTGTGCAGATGCACATAAATTGCATCTATACCGTATATTTTATAAACCTTTGCTCAGATAAAACAGCATATCTTAGGGGAAACCCCTGTATACCTCGGTGTATAGTTACTTTGTTACGTAAAAAAGTTTTAACCATCTATCACTTACTATCTATTGTAAATTAAACTTTGTACTAAAACGCTGCCATTTCGTTTTTTCTTCAATCTGTAAATGTAAGAAGAAACATGGAAATTTACAGAATGCACGTTTCTTTAATTATTCTGATAATTTTTTGTCTAGAAGCAAGTGATGCATTGCTTTTTCAGCAGCAGTCCCGTAGCACACCAATTCCACTGAATGGTGCGATTACCAAATCTGAAGGTGAGACACTACTGACTTTATTACAAGATGTCGTTCTTCTGAAACAGGGACTTGCGTCGACAATGAACCAAGTTACGTTTCTTCAGAGTGAGTTGAGAGAGCAACGAAAACTACACAAGAGTGAAATTGAAAATCTACGAGGCCAGATGGAAACTCTACAGCAATTTACCAATTTGTGCAATCGGACTATCCATGAAGGAATACAAGAGGCAGGAAAGAACATGTCTAGTCTCGTGGAAAGTGTTAGACATTTGAACAGGTCCATGGAACTCGATCGTATAAATACTTATACCCTGAACGAGACATTAAAAGGTTTTGAATATAACCTCTCGAATGTTGTCCAAGGCACGAACACAATGAAACAATCTATTAGTTTTGAAATTCAACAAGAATTTCGCCAAAACAGACAGGACATAGTGAACAATATAACGAAGTTGGGTGGTTTTTTAGACATTGCTAAGAAACAAAACCATTATATATCCCTCTCTTTGAATGACGTCAAAAACGATTTATGACATCTTGAACAACGCCAAGAAAACGCGACATCATTACTTGCAGAACTGGAGAAGAACATAACTGATTCAAAGGAAATGATAGGTTCGTGCCTCTTTCTTTCTCTCTCTCTCTACATAATAAACAAGATGTGTTTGTGAAACACTGATGTCCCCGTATAGCAGCTTATAGCGAAGGTTAAACTTTCTTTAATGCAAGTCAAACTCCAGGTCAAAAGATAATAAAAATGTTGGTACCGAAAGTAAGGTCTTGTCTCGAGGAAAATACCTGTAAAATATGATAGTCATAGCACCAACCGTTGAAAATATATGGAGAAGATTAAAGTTTTTCAAAATTAAGTCAAACGTCAAGGTCAAGGTCAAATAGACAAATTAATGGTGCCCAAGGAAAGATCTTGTCACAAGTAATACATATGTGAAATACGAAAGCCGTAGCACCAATCGTTCAAAAGCTATTGCCAAGGATAAAGTTTTTTAAAAGTAAGCCAAACTCCAAGTCAAGGTCAATGGGCCAAATTGTTGTTATCCAAAGTAAGGTCTTGTCAGAAGAAATACACATTTGAAGTATTAAAGCCCTAGCACAAACTGCTCAAAAGTTTTGGCCAAGGTTAAAGTTTTTCAAAAGTAAGACAAACTCCAAGGTCAAAGGTCAAAGTTGTTGGTATCCAAAGGAAGATTTTTGTTCAAAAGAAATACACTGTGATTTATGAAAAATGAGCAACAACTGTTCAAAAATAATGGCCAAGGTTAATTTTTTTCAAAAGTAGGTCAAACTACAAGGTCAAAGTTGTTGATATCAAAAGGAAGGTCTTGTCACAAGAAATACACAAATGAAGTATGAAAGCATTAGCACAAACTGTTCAACTGTTTTGGCCAAGGTTTTTTTTTTTAAAAGATGGTCAAACTCCAAGGTCAAGGTCAAAGGGATTTTTCTCCTTTCCTGTTACATTTGGTTCTGTGACCACGCCCTAGAAGTGACAGTGAAAGACTTTCCAGGGAAGAGCCTTAGTTGGAGTCTTCGGGGGCCGAAGACCTTTACGGAGGGAGGGATGTGGCGTCAGACGGATTCGATCGCCGGTGGCCAGATAGCTCAGTTGGTAGAGCACCTGACTGAAGATTCAGGGTGCCTGGGTTCGAATCTGTTTCGTCGCATTTTCCTCCTTTCCTGTTACAAAATTATGACAAATTATATATATACGTAATAAATGATAAAAATCATTAATTCTTCAAAACTGATCTTTGAAATACATTCCATTCTACACGAGCAACCTTTGTTGATTTTTTTCTCATGAACGTAATGTCAGGATTACCCAAGTCATTATCGTCCAAATCAAATCATCATCAGAATGAATAAAAAAAATCCCGATGTAAAATAAATATGTCCTATCTATTTTCATCATTAGAGTCCTATTGTGCAGAAGAAAAAATACACCATATGCCACTCGTCAATAATCTATTGCACATTGCTTGTGTTTAAAAGTTTATAAGTGGGTAGGGATAGATCCAGGATTTTACGGTTACATTTAATAATGTTTATATTGTACTTACGTACAAATATGTTTATCTTGATAATTAACTTTTATTTTTCAGTCAACATAGACCGTAAAACAAACGACTCTAGGAGTAGAGAAATAACAACAAACACTGTCTTATCTAGAATGCAGACAAAGATTCAACATCTAGAAACAGGTAATTGTAGTGTCTTTTAGCCATTAACACCCCCCCCCCCAAAGTGAATAAATAAGTAAATTGAACAAATTCTAAATTTGGAGGAGCTGATAGTCTTTAAAGATGCACAAAATCCATCCCAATCTTAAGTTATTGTTACAAAGACAAAAAAATCTGCAGAATACAATCACTTATACGTGTCTGATTATGCCCCCGTAATCGTATTCCTTATGACAACACTTTTTTGGGTACCAATATAATTGACCTTTTGACCTTGGATTTTGACATGCTTTTGCAAAAAATTATTAAACTTTATACTTGGCCATAACTTTTGAATGATTGATGCAAGGGTTTTTTGTATTTCATATGTGTGTTCCTTATGACAATGCCTCCGTTGGGTACCAGCATTTTTTCCCTCTTGACCTTGAGCTTTGAGTTTGACCTACATTTGTAAACTCTTAATATGACCTTTCCTATAACTTTTGAACGGTTGATACTAGACAATCATGTTTCACGTATGTAGTTCTTGTGACAAGACCTTTTCTGTAGTACCAGTATTTTTTACCTCAAGACCTTGACCTTGTGATTAGTAATTAAATTTTCTAAATGGTTGTTGCTAAGGTTTTTATTATTCACATGTGTATACCCTGTGACAAGACTTTTCTTTGGGAACAAACTTTTAACTTGACCTTGAAATTTTACCTACATTTGAAAATTTAACCTTGGCCTTGAACTGCCATACGGGGGCATCAGGGTTTCACAAACCAATCTTGTTTCATTTTAGATGTAAACACCAGAATTAGCTTCACAGCTGGGAGAACAGCCACTAAACAGGACTGGACGGTAGGAGAGAGAATCGTATTCACAGCTGTGATTGACAGTCAAGGTGGCGGATACAATGCAAGTACTGGAATATTCACAGTCCCTAAAAACGGGACGTACCTCTTCTTCTGTAATATTTTGACGTATGCTAACCACAACTTTAATGCCGATATCGTTGTCAATGGACACACAAAAGAGAGGATTGTAACAAACGCGTATGGACAAACCAAAGCCATAGCGTCATCAAATCTTCTCATAATTCGCGTAAAATCTGGAGATCAAGTCTATGTTAAGCATGCTCAAGGAAGCCTTTTGCTTTCAGATGGTGCCCATGAAGTGATATTTTCGGGCATTAAAGTAAAATAATTGATTTCTTTGGGTTGGGCGGCGATGGGGAGTGGGAAAGGTGTGTTTTCATTCATATATAAGTATATTTTCATTTAAACAAAAAGAGCAATACGCAAGCTGGACAGCTATTTTCATTGGTTAGGCAGGACTGCCATAACTGTTTGTCGGGATTCTCTCCTGAACTCGAAAATTACCGAATTTAAGTAAAGACGTTATTATTTTTTTCTACCAAAAATCGGAACAAAAGAAAATTTCAGTTGAAAAGATTTATCAGACGAGGAAGAGAGATGGATCACTTGTGAAAAAGACGCTTCCTTGATTGTACAAAGTGAAACCTTTTCTAAAAAGTTAGCGGACTCTTTGAAATTATCATAAGAGAAAGATATTGATTTGATTTGAACATTTTTTATTGTGTAAATTAATAATATTAACATATATATTATAATATGTAATAAAATAATATACAAATTATCATATAGTGTATCATATAATATAGAATTTATGAAAAAAGAAAAAAAAACTCAGAAGTTGCCGAGTTATCTTTTCTACCAAAAAAGTACAAAACTTTGCAGAAAGCTGGAGTTTTAGTTGGATTAAAACTATTAACATTTGATATATTTGGAATATTCTAGCCTGGGTAAGTTCTAGGACATCATTTGCACTAGTGCATATGAGGACTAGTGTAACTTTTCTAAAGTAAGTTGTTTTTGACTTTGTTTACAAATCATGCACTACTTTCGATTATTCCCGTGTATATATACTATATGCGTAATAAAGAACAGAGCGGATAAGATGCCCTTGTTAATGGATCTCTATTAAATACACACACAGGTCCTTAGAACACCGGAGGGGGGGGGGGCAGGGGGTTCCGCCCCCCCCTTTCTGAGTATAGTATTTTGCTATAGTAGGTTTTCCTTTAGATGCCCCCCCCCATTCTAGGATTTGGAGAGTAAATTACCCCCCCCCCTTTTATTTTGGCTTTTCTTTTTTTGGGTTTTCTTTGCATGTTAGATAATTTTGGGAAGTTGCCCCCTCCACTTTTGGTCAGTTGAGTTTTTTTTTTCAAAGCTTGTCAGATTTTTTGGGAAGTTGCCCCCCCCTTTGAAAACCGTTGCTACGGACCTGACACACATCTGATCATTACACGTCGGCACCCCTGAATAGTACACCGACTCTTTCTCTTATAATGATTTCAACTAACTATTTAGAAAAGGTTTGTACAATGAAGGAAGCGTCATTTTCACAAAAGTAATCTGATAAAAAAAATACGGTTCTTTTATTTTCAAGTATCCTAGCTGAAAGTAGATTTTGTAAAACCTGTAAAGTAGCTAGAGCTCAATAAAATCATCACTGTTTGACCTTAAAATCTAACTACACATGTATAACATGGAATGAATTTTAAAAGCCTTAGTCATTGTTCAATTATTTATGCTCGTTTGTTTACGTGGACAACCTGTCCCATGCTGAGATGGATACTGTATTGCTCCTCTATCGTTTGAGAGCTAAAATATCTAGAAACTTGCGTATTGGATACATATATTTTTTTTTTAGAATTAGTCACTACAATGTAATTTGCTTTATGACAGTGCGACGTATATGATAAGGAATTACTAGTAACTTAAGGTTTATTCTGAGTCCAATTTCAACTTGGTTAATGAATTTTTCTACAGCATTGTAACAAAACTTAATAGGTAAATAGAAGAAGGCATTTTACGATTTTTTTTTATCTGTAAGCATCTAAGCTTATCGATACTTAAAACACTATATGTTATTAATGTGAAGAAATGTTACGTGATTCGGGATATAGGGAAAGGTACGGAAATGTACGTACATTCTATTTGTAGAGTATTTGAAATTTTGTGTAGAGACGTAGATTTTAATGGGTTATTACATGTACTGTACATTGATGGTAGAACCAGTTGAAGATAAGAACAAAACGTTTTCATGATCCTAATATTTTTCTTACTTTTTTTCAAGTGGTTTATACAGCAAAATCAAACAGTTATGATTATAATCAGCACTAAGTACATCTCCATATAACGATATTGTATGTTGATTGAAGTTTAACGTCCCATTCAAGAATTTTTCACTCATATAGAGACGTCACCATATATTGGTGAAGGACTTCAAATTTAGGCCTTTACACGGCACTCAAGGTCATTGAGCATTGAGGGTTCCTTATCGTGCCAACGCATACTGTGACACGGAGCCTCGGTTTTTAAGGTCTCATCCGAAGGAACCGCAACTTTTACTTCAAAGTACTGAGCACTTGGCGAAGGAACAGTTGCTACCTATTTTTTATCGACTTAGGTCAGTCGCGGTCGAGATTTATGTCTTTTTGTATGATGCACATAAAACAACATGGGCACCTGATCTTGGGCAAGCCGAATTATTCTTTTCACATAGGTAAACAATAACCTATCTTGTTATGTTCCCCAAACGAAGTTTGGGAACATATTGTTTTTACTCTGTTTCTTATTATTATTATTATTATTATTATTATTATTCTTTTTTTCTACTTTCTTCTCCGGTACTTTTTTGTCCGGGAGTGTTCTCATAGAACCACTCATCCGATTGGAATGAAACCTTTTTAGGGTTAATAGGCATGTTGTGTAGGTGTGTGGAACGAAGGTCATTTTGCGCGCACATGCATGCACGTGCGCGCGCGAGCAATGAGTGAAATGACTGATATACTTGATGAAGCCGTAACTTTTATATTTCTTGATCAATTGCTTTGAAACTCAAAATATAAAGATATATTAGTAGTCTAGACAAGACAACATGGTCAAATTAGCGTGAACTCACGCGCATGCACGTGCACTCTTCTCTGATTGGCTGATACAAAAATCTCAATAATTTCCTTGTTTTTTGACAAAATACTTTGAAATTTAGAATATAAGTATATATTATAAGGTGCTACAACATGTTATATAGGAAATTTCTTGAAAACACGCGCATGCAGGTGTGCTGCAAACTGATTGGTTGAAACTTTAAATGTCTTTAACTCCCTTGGTTTTTAACAAAACAGGATGAAATTTACGACATGGATAGGCACATAGAGCTCCTACATTATGATACTATCAAAATTGAATGCAAGGCCATGCATGCGCGTATGCTGAATTTTGATTGGCTAATACTTAAAGGGTTACATCTCTCTTATTTTTCAATGAAATTCTTTAATATTTAAAACAAATGTATGTATTGTGAGACACTATAAGATAATTAATGTGAAAAATGTAGCTATTAGATTGGCTCATACCCATATGGCTATATCGGAGTAGTTTTCCAATGAAATACCCTAAAAAAGTGTCCATCTATATTACAAAAGTATTGTCTAATTTATTGAAGCTTGTAGGGAATGGGGCATTACAAGGGATTGGGGAGCCGTTTGGGGAACATCTGTAACGGTTCCCGTTACAATTAGCACTAGTTATTCTCATGTTTTTGACAAAAATCTGTTGTATCGTCTGTCCTAAAACAGAATTCTATTGCATTAGTCTTTGTATTTATAATTGTATTTTGTACTTTATATTTATGATTATTTATTTAATGTATATGCTGGTATATCTATACAAATACAACGAAAGTAAATTTTGTGTAAAATTTTATTCTTTTAATTTAAATGAACAAGCATTTTAAATTTTTTTTTAGAAAAAGTTATTTATTTATTTATTAAAATACTCTTGTTATTAGAGATACCATACTTTTTTATCAATCTCTTTATTACAAAGAATTCCGTATTCTATAAGATGTTTACTTTTTAATTCAACTGTTGGTATGGCCATTAATGTATGTAATTCATGCACTATTATGCGACACAGGTATTTTGTTATTGGCCTACGTACTCTCTTAAAACCAATATTTACTGCATGTTATCAGGTGGCCTACTTTACATTGGAGTCAAAACTATCTGTCATACTTTGAGAAATAAGACAGGTAAGGACATTTAAATTTGGTGGTCAATGGGTGCATTAAAAGTGTTAAGCATTGTGTGTGACCAAGAACAAGTAACTCTCTCAGGCTTAAGTCACAATGCCGATAATCAGTTGCTTCCTTTCTATCTAACATTATGATATTAATTTTGTTTTCCTTCCATACCCATAGGGAAGTAAAGTTTTTGCCTTTAAGAAAACAGAACAATAAAACGTATACTCCGACAAATTATTTTCAATTAGATATATATGCCAAATTCTTTTTTAATGTTATTTATGCAAACAATTTGTATAATGTAATATCATTGGTGAGTGAACTTATTATTGGTAAGTTCTAAGAAATATGATCATATTTATATGTACTTTTAGACTTTTTACGGGGAATCATTCTGTCTAGTTTGGACTGGAAGATAGTATGAACTCATTAGGATAAGTGTTCTACCCTAACTGTTTTCTTTTTCATTTCTTTATTACATGTAATACAGGTAAATCACATTCAAAAGTCCATTTAAGGTTGGTAAGGAGTAATAAGTGGCAGTATCTCAGTATGGGTCATGCCAAAAATTATGAAACATGTTTTTAGTGATTCCCCATTGCGTACATGTAGAATTTTAACTCTGTATGGATTGAAACTGTTTGCATGTTTTTTGCTGGTCTGATGAAATTCAATCCTTTATTTTATTACTGCTGCATACATTGTAGTTGGAATATTGGTCAAGAAGCTTGGCCATTGGGTATTTCTCTTGATATGTCCAATTTCTGCGTCAGAATTTCTGGTAAAAAGGTGTTTGTCCAATTAGCCATAAATTTAGTTTTTGCCTGTATATATTTTGATCTATTTTTTTCAGCAAGTGCATTCTGTTATGGGACGAACCCATTTGGTGAATTTTCTCAGCATCTGTACCACTCTATCTGTTGGTGCTACCACACTGAAGAAAGAAAAAGAGATGTCAGCCTATTTTGTGCAACTAGGCCAATGAAACTTTGTTGGATAGCTAGAGAAGAAGAAGGCTAAAGCAGACCAGATGGAATGCAGTTTTAATGCTGGATAGCAGACCAGGGGTCTTACTGTCAATGTAATAGTGATACTGGTAATGCCATTATCATGATTACTTTAATTTTGTTATGTGAAATTTAATAAGTGTAGAAAATAAGCAATTTATGGGGTGTAAACTATTGCAAGTTTTCATATAAAATGTCCTGTGCAAGTGTTATGTCAGATGCAGCAATGGGCTGTTCTTATGTTTTATGTTGTCATTAAAAAAAAAAAAACTTTATGTATAATCTATGTATGTCTCAGGTCAAGGACACTGCTACAATATGTTTTCCTTAGACTAGGGAATACATCAATCAGTATTCAAATTTTCAAGTCTGGAAATGGGGTGGAGGAGGGTGAATAGTGGATCAGTTTATTAGTTCTCAATGTGTCCAAGATTTTTAAGTGAGGAATAGTATTGGACAAATCTTTCACATAATAATATTGATAAAAACTATTTGAACAGATTTTTTTTTCTAGATCTAGATATAAGGCAGTATAGAATTTGTTTGCATCAAAATTGTCAAGATTAAGAAGTTTCATGTGCCATTTTTTATTTATTAGCCCTCAATGTGACCAAGATTTTATGAGTGAAGAATGGTATTGGACAAATTTTTCACATAATAATAATTAAAAATAAATCAAAAGTCTATTGGACATATTTTTTTTTAGAATTCAAAAAGTATCAAATTTGTGTGCATGAAAATGGCCAAATTCGTTGAATTTAAAGAGTTGTATGTGCATTTTCCCTTAATATATTTGTTTTCAAACAGTCTATTTTTAAAATAAGTTTATAGTATCAAAATTGTTTAAAAATAATTTTAAATATTTAATGCATATTGTATAATAATTTTTTGATGAGTAATAAATATGTTGAAGTATGACTTTTTGAATGACTGGAAAGGGGAGATAACTCATTACCCTCTAGTTTCGTATACTTAACCCTCAATGCCATGTTCATATTTTCTCTAAATGTTTATTACACATTGTTTTGTGCCATGTGAAAATTTCAGCAAAAAATATTGGGACGTATTTTCGGGGTCAGGTGTCCTTAGCTACCATAAACGTTTGAATCCGGCGAAATTTAAATCACCGATGCTAAGCATTCAATCCCTTATTAATATTTTGTGCTAGGAACAAAGTTTCACAAAGGACATTTCAGTAGGAAATCGTATAACGATAAAGCTCAGGAATCTCAGAAGAATTTAGCTGACATCTTCAAAATGTTTAGCGTGATGTATGATTGATGACCCAATAAAAGAGGACTAGTTTATTTTCAGTACGGATAATCGGGATATGGGCAAGTTGCATGGTCACTGGTAAGTCGAGTCAACATGAAATTAGAGCAAAGGATCAAATGTATTGTTCATCGTGAACATAGTGAACTTCAACACTTCACTCAAACAGGTTATATGACATCGAGAACGATAGGAAAATTCGCATTGACTTGGGGGCATCCTGCTACACTCTTTGCAGTCCGACCGAACAGGGAAGGGAAATGGGGGTCTATACGTCCCTGAGAGAAGTCTTGGAGCATTTGAAGTTTGATATAGTTTGCATCAGGTAATTAATGAACTGTTAATTTTATATATTTGTAGTTTATAATCGCGCATTCCATTAAATTACTGATAGTTATCAATGACCTAACTTATTACGGACATAAACAGTGATGAATAGATCAGGGTATTCGTGGAACTACATGTATCTCGCAATGCAGAATAGGTTGTCATCCAGCTTATTTTTAAAAATTCCATTTTTTTCTAATATTCTTTTGCTTTCTTTAATACTACCAGGAAAGCATGTTCACCATTTTTATGAAATAGTTTGAATTATTGATGGAAACTAAGAAGATCTAGTGTTATTTCTCACTGTAAATTAGTTCACACTGAAAAAAGTTTGAAGCCCAAATCCATGTTTTAAAATATCAATCTTGAATGCAGTAAACAAATTTTATGTTCAAACTCTTTTAGTCAAAACATACAAAATGATATTTAATATGCTGCACATGAATTTTCTCCCTAGATAGATTTCAGTTTGAATTTTATCATTAACTTTTATTTATTCATCTCAAAAAAGGATTTAAAAGTAGTTTAAAAAGAGAGGGGTTTAAAGTCATAAAATCTGAGACTCTAAACATTCTGATTGCACCCACAAGTACTCTGAAGTTGACATTAAAAAGATGCTTGAGTTTCTGATTGACAATATCTATGTGCTCTTTGGAGACCAGGTCTTCCAACAATCTATTGGGATTCCCATGGGTACCAATGGCGCCCCGTTGTTAGCAGACCTTTTTTTGTATTCATTTGAAGCAGAATTTGTCCAAAATCTTATACGTGAAAAGAAGAAAACACTTGCTGTGGCCTTCAACTCGACATTTAGATATATCGACGACGTATTGTCAATTAACAATGGTTATTTCCATTCTTATGTCGATAAGATATATCCCAGTGAGCTTGAGATAAATGATACCACAGAGTCTGACACATCTGTTTCATATTTGGATATTTTACTTGAAAAAGATGTTAATGGTTATCTAAAAACCAAGCTTTATGATAAACGTGATGACTTTAACTTTTCAGTCGTCAACTTCCCCTACTTATGCAGCAATATACCTTCATCATCTGCATACGGGGTTTATATCTCTCAGTTGATTCGATACGCAAGAGCATGCTCTACGTATGTACAATTTCTAAAACAAGATAAATTATTGACAAACAAGTTGATCAAACAAGAATATCAGCAGTCTCGTTTAATGCCATCATTTCGTAAGTTCTATGGTCGATACAATGATCTTGTCAGCAAATACAATTTATCATTGAGTCAAATGCTGACTGACGTTTTGCATACTAATTGATAGGCCATTATTTGCACACTGAATTGTCGACGGATTTTCCCGTTATTTCCCGATCATGACAAGGAGCACACAGCGGGTGTGACTGGTCGGTAGGGGATGCTCACTCCTCCATGGCACCTGATTCTACTTCTGATGTTTTTGAGGTCCGTGTTTGCTCTGCTTCTATTTTGTATTGTTTAATGGACTTTTGAGCTTGAATACTGTTCGTTATCTCCATATATTTCACTCAGTATCAAGACAAGCTCATGTATGTTCAAGAAAGCTAGTTGGATGGATCAAGCAAAGGTATGGCGCCTGATATGCCAATACCAGTGGCCCAAGATTTGGGAGAGACTGGTTATCCAATGAATGTTATCAATGGAAACAATTAAATCATTTACCAGCAATCTACATCAATGAATTTAATTTTCAGTCGATGAATCGCTAATGTGAATCGTAAATAAAAAGCAAACGCCGAAGAAATGCTTCATAAGAATATAATTTAGAAACACAGGAATTATGACTTTCAGAATAAGAAACCATAACATATAATTAAATTTCAATCCATTCATTTCAATCCATTCAATCTAGCCATGACTGAAATCTGTTAACCGTTCTTCCTTATATATATATATATATATATATATATATATATATATATATATATATATATATATATATATATACGAGGGGTTATCAAAAAGTTCGTGGACTGATGCGATAAAATTAATGCTATGTAGTCTGTGCTTACAAACTTTATACTGAACATAAATCAACAAAAGTTTATGAAATGTTGAAAATTTCAGCTTGATATGTTGATTATTTGCCAAATTATTCTAAAATAAAAAAAGACATTATATGATCACCCGGCGCTGCCGCCGTTTAGTTTCATGACGTCCGACGACGTCATTGTTTCTCAATGTCCGCTTTCTCTACCTCATACACTTATCTTGATGAGATTACCTGGAGTTAAGTAAGGACTTAAATCCGTCTTGTTTATATGACTTTACAATGTCATGAACAGCTACTTTCAATGCATATAATATTGTAAATGGATCTATACACAGGGAAAGATCCTCACTTGATTATGCAAGAATACTTAGCTTGTTGGAGTTCAATTTCTACCTCACATAATCAACGTCACTTATCGACGTAACTGGCTTTTGACACCCTGACTACAAAGCGATATTAACTATGCATCTTTCAACTCTCTGAATCTTTTTTTGGTATTTAAAACGAGTATTCTGGATGCATTTTATTTTTCTGTAGCCCATTCAAACATCCCCTAGGTCTATACCAGTTTTTCCAGGTTCAAAACTTTATAGAATGTTGGAAAAAGAAACGCCTCCCCCTTTCTAACGTTATTTTCAAGCCGTTAATTGTTTGGACACTCTATATAAAATTTACGATAAAATTTCATAGTATTTACAGAATGGGGGTAAAATTGCAAATTTTACGGAAAAATTGTGTTGTACCAAATGCCCGAATTTATGGGATTTTTTTAAATGACAAATGCTCATATCACAAGAGTTTTTTGCAGTTACACTCAGGTAGAAAATACGTCATATTTGAGGTTGCGCCGCCTAGACATACCATTGCTTACAAAAATATTAACAAATTATTGAAAAATAAAACTCATGATTTAAGGTTTATTCTATATAAAGAAAAGATGATGCTAACTAAATGTTTTAAAATTCATTGATGTACCTAAAGCGGTTTTAATTTTATGGCGCTAGTTCACGAACTTTTTGATAACCCCTCGTATATATATATATATATATATATATATATATAATTTTATCACAAATACCAAAAGTTCAAAATAGTTCAATTTTTAATTATTTATCATAACGAAATTAGGACATATCAAGAGGATAGGAAGTGAAATGTTAGGCTGCGTTTAGGTACCAAGTACAAAATCTTGAAATTGATACTTGATCGAACAATTACACAGTCATTTGACATCCGCTTTCATGGCTGATCTTTTCTCCGCTTTCAAGGCTGATCTTTTCTTTTTTTTAATGGATGATTTTGTAAAAAAAAAAAAAAAAAAAAAAAAAAAAAAAACTTAAAAGAGTCAACAAAACTGAAATAGCGAAAATTGTGATTCA